ACTCTGTAATAAAAAAATTTTTTTTTGTACAAAGTCTCAACCTCTGATATAATTTAATTGATAATTCATCACTCAGTAGTACAAAATGATCTACAATCTATAATACTATTGATAGTTATAGATTAGGAAATTTATTTAATAATTTAAGTGTGACTTGATTGGTTATCAAATAACATGAATAAAGAGGAGATGATAGTATTTTCTTTTCAATATAATTTCTAATTTTTTTTTAAAAAAAAACTCATCTTTAACTATACATTCATGAAGCTGATTTTAACAATTTCAACTTCACAAGTGTTCTTATGAACTAGCGAAAGATGAGGAAAAGAAGGTAAGAGACAAGGTAAGTATAAATTTTATTTATTTTTTTTTTAAAAAAAAAATTCACCTTTTATCATATATTCGTAAAGCTGATTTTGACGATTTTGACTTCACAAATATTTCAATGAACCAGTGAAAGGTGAAGAGAGGAAAAGTAAAGGGAGAAGAGAAAAGGTAAAGGCAAGAGATATAAGTTTTATTTATTTTTAAAAAAAAAAGAAAAAAAAAACTCATTTTTAACCATACATTTGTAAAACTATTTTGACAATTTTGACCTTCACAAATTTTTCTACAAACCAGCTAAAGGTGAGGAGAAAAAGACAAGAGAAAAGGTAAATATAAGTTTTATTTATTTTTTTAAAAAAAAATAAAAAAAAACTCACCTTTAACCATATATCTGCAAAATTGATTTCAATAATTTTGACTTCACAAGTATTTTCACAAATCAGTGAAAGGTGAGGAAAGGAAAGGTAAAGAGAAAAGAGGAAAGGTAAAAGCAAGAGACAAGTAAGTATAAGTTTTATTTATTTATTTTTTTAAAAAAAAAACAGAAAGAGAAAGATAAAAATAAAATTTTTAAAAAAACTAATTATCAAGTTATGCAGGACTTATGGATTTTTATTGTAATTCTATTTATTGAATTTATAATTTTTTAAAATATCAGATATCAGACAGAGAAATATTATTTATCTTTCACAATATAAAAACTACAACTATCTACATGATATCTATAAATATTAGACATCTGATATATATCTGATATTTTTGATTTTGACATGTGTACTTGATATATATTTAACAAATTATATATACGATATACATTACAAAAATCAGATATCAAAATAAATATTGGTTATATTTAATACACTTATCGGGAATATAAAAATTTTTTAAAAAAAATTAAAAAATATATCGGATGCTCAATTTTTATAAGGTGACCAATAGATCACTAACATATTTATATTATATCTATTGGACATATATCAGGACTTATCAGTTACCTATCAGCAATCCCAATAGTTATTAATTGGCTCTTGATATATGTTCGAAATACAGATTTCGACCTATGTATTGTGGATCAAAATAATTAAATTTTAATTTACTTAGAAAAAGTAGATAATTCAAATGTCTTGTTACAAGTTACTAAAACTGTAAATGAATATTATTTTCATTTAGTTGATGAATCATATTGAAGTATAATTTTTGATAAAATTTTATTGAATATTTTGAAATTTATAGAATTTGTAAAAGCTTTTCATATATAAGTTCCAATTAAAGTTTCTCATAGGCTGAGCTGAGCCGAGCCTCATAAAGCTCAGGCCGAGTCGAGTTCAAAAGTCTTAGGCTCAGCTCAAGCCTGAGTTTATAAGTTAAGCTCGAGTTGAGCTGAGCCTTACTTATATAGGCTCAGCTTAGCTCGAGCCTCATAGTAGGCTCATAAAGAGAAAATATAAGAGAAAATATAAGAGAAAACATATAAGAGAAAATATAAGAGAAAATATAAAAGAGAATATAAGAGAAAATTAGTGATATTTATGGAAATTAAACTCTGATAGCTTAATTTAATAAGCTATCAGAATTTAATTTAAAAAAAAATAAAGAACGTGATCATTGCTCTAAATTTTTTTAAGGAGCGCGATCATCGCTCTTTAAATTTTTTAATTTCAGGGGCTTTAAATAAAAGTCCCAGGATTTTTTTAAAAAAAAATATTTCGTGACTTTTAAATAAAACCACAAAATTTTAATATTTTTTTTTAGCGATCCGTCACTTTGAATAGTGACGGATCACTTTTTTTTATTTTTTTAGCAATCCGTCACTTTAAATAATGACGGATCGCTTTTTTAATTTGATTTTTTCTATTACTATTTAATAGCAACGAATAATTTTTTTTTTAAAAAAAAATTCGTGACTTAAATAAAACCACGAATTTTAAAATAAAAAAAATTATGTGGACTTTTATTTAAAGCCCTAAAATTTTTAAGGCTCGAGCCTTGTGAGCTAGACCTTAGTTGAGCTTGGCTCACGAGTTTATGAGCCTATAATATCAGGTTCAGTTCAGCTTGGATCAGCTCAGCTCGTGAGCCTTAAGGCCTATGAGGAGCTTTAGTTCCAATACTGCCAGTACTCACAATACAAATTATCAAATATGTGTTAATAATTTACTTTATAATCTTGTACCATTATCAAATTATATTAACAAATTTATACAAAACAATTATAGAAATATGTATTCAAAGTTAAAACAACTTTCCTGAGATTTTTTTGCTTCAAAACTTTTTGAAATATTTTCAATGATTTCTATTAATTTTAATATTATTAGTAATTATCATTGGGATAAAAATAATATACAAATTGTTTATGTTGTCTAGTACCATTAGATAATTTTCAAGGAGGTAACTTTTATTTTTTCAACTTCACACTCTTGTACTACTTCAACTTGATCAGGTTGTTACATTCTTTTTTCATTTTTTACTTTATAATAACTTTCCTTTAATCTATGGAATTAAATATAGTATTACCTATTTTGTTCATATAAATTTTTTTCATCCAGAAGACAATTTCAATAATATAAAAATTGATAATATTAAATTAATTCAAAATCTCTACAATAATTCTAACTTAAATACTATAAAAAAGAGTTGTCCTGTAACTTTTTCTAAATAAAAATATATATCAAATATCAATAATGATAAAAGATGAAAGTATATTGATAAGTAAATTAAATAAAATATTTTATATAATTATAATTTATTAAAAAAACTCAAAATTAATTATTATAATTTATTTTAGATTTGTTATATACTTGTAGAGGTTTAGGTACTAAAGTTTCAATTCCAAATCAATAATTATAATAATATATTCTATTACAATTTGTATTATATTTATTTCAGAAATTTTTGTTCTAAAATTTTATAAATAATAATTTTTGAAAAAGTTTAAAACAATAGTAAATAAACAAGAACATTTTGTGTTATATAATAAAAACTTTTTATTTGATTAAAAATTTCTGCAAATTTTTATGAAAATTTGTGAAAATTTGTATAAGTTTTTTGAAAATTTTAAACTAAAAATTTTTGCAAATTTTATGTAAAAATTTTCTGAAAATTTTTGCCTCTTAAAATTTCCTGATATAAGAATAATTATTATATTATTGAAATAATAATTATTATGATAATAATTATAGTAATACATGTATATTGAAATAATAATTATTATGATAATAATTATAATAATTATTATAATAATTATTAAGAATAATTATTTCTATAATTTATTATCATAATAATTATATGTAATTAATTCTATTAATAATTATTATAATATAACAATAATTATTAATAATTGATAATTAGTTATTTAATTATTACTATCGATTATAATATTATTAGAAATAATAATTGCTTATTGATTATTACATAATTGTAATAATAACTCATAATAATTAATTCATAATAATATTATCAATAATTAATTATAGTAATAATTATTATTTAATAATCATTATTAAATAATTGATTATAATTAATTATTGATTATCGATAATAATTAAATATAAAAATATGACTATAGTCATGATACACAACTATAGTCACAACACAAGACTATAGTCACAACATATAACTATAGTTACAACATACAACTATAGTTATGACAGTCACATTTTACTACTATAGTTACATCTTACTATCATGATTATGTTTTACTACATTGTGACAAATTGATATGAAAATTGAGATGAAGACGTGACTCAGATCTTAGTATAAGTCTGCATTTCTACTAACTATACATGTTTCCAAAATTGATTTTTGATTTTTGGAATATTTCATCTTCTTGAGATTTATACAGAATCTATTCTATATATAGAAGTAAAAAAAAAACCTAGTTAAGTATATCTTTAATCAAAGAATTTATCTGAGTAGTCAAAAAATTTTGGATTTTAAGTAAAATAATTTTGTCTTCTATAAAAAACTATTTCAACTTTTTTTTTGAAATTGTAATTTCAGAGCTTCACAATAATTTTGTGTACAAGTATAATACTAACATATTAGAATACAATGTTCTAATGTATTATTTGAACATTTTGTACTTATAGCATACTAAAATACAATGGTTTAATATATTATTTGAATGTTTTGTACTTATAGCATACTAGAACACAACATTCTTTTACATTATTTGAACATTCCATACTTATAGCATACTAGAACACCTCTATAAAATCCTGGATGACCAATCTCAAGTTGAAATAATCTAAACTAAATGAAAATAGTATAATTATACTATTTCTACTAAGGGATGCCTTTATTATTGATAAATTCATGATAAAAGATTAGAAGCAAGAATCTTAAATCCTTATCTATTTCCAGATCATTACAAAATTATAAAATGAATAATTGTCCATTTTTTGGTTGAAAAAAGTATTAATTACTGGCTATTGAATAGCGAGCAACATAACTTTTTCCAAGTGCATGTGGACAAACAGTTAAAGCATCTTAAAAATCTATGATCAGAGATGAATAAAATCAATAAATTTCAATCTTGATGAGCCAATCAGATTTGAAAAGAATCCTGATCTCAGACATCTGGTTTAATCTCTTCAATAATTTATTCAATTATTACAAAGAAATATTACTACTGTACTTAGAAAATATTATTACTCAGAAAAAATACCTTTTTTTTATACAAGAATGCCTTTATATTCAGCTTGTGGATATTTTTGTGTAAGATATGGCCATTGAACAATAAATCTATCCACAAAATTTAATAATAATTTTCCTGATAAAGAAAGTGTTTTAACTCTGGCAAATGATTCTACATATATTAACTTTATCCATTTGATTCCAAAAAACTTTTTTTTTTGTTCACCCAAAATAATAAATAAATATAATAAATAAATCATATATATATATAAATTCAAAAATAAATTAAAAATTTAAACATTTAAAAATCTTACCCTTGGAATATATGATATTATACACACCGGTATGCAACTTCCAGGTCCATTACATATAACCTTTGATAAAGATAAAAAAAAATAATAATAATAATGATTAATTAAAATCTCTTGAGTCATTCAAGTGATGAAAAATTTCACTTTCATACCAAATCTGGTAAATCAAATAGTATTATTCTAATACATGCTATTAATGATTTCAAGACACTGAAAGGAGTTGTTATCCAAGATTGTCCAACCTCTCGACTTCGCGGTACTAATTGGATAATGAACTAATTATTTATTATATATTTTTGTTGGAATATTATTAGACGTTTATATCTCTTTAACAAATAAATAAAGATATAAAAAGATATAAAATAACGAAATTTACATCGACATTTTCCACATTGCCTTTATGACTTTCGAAATTCCTAGCTTTTTCAGAGCTTAATATGTCGCCCTCAGTAACAATATATTTTCGTGGTCGATAAAGTGAATTAAAGTCAACTCCTTTCAAAAGTTGTAACATTTCCATTGTATGCCCGCCTTAGATAAACAATGAAAAAATTTCTTCAAATAAATTATCAAAGATTTGTTGAATTTTTATTTTTTTCCATTGCAACTTGTAAGAAAATGTACCAGAACCCAAAACGATACACGTCTTAAAGGGTGGTTTTTTATTATTTAAATTATTATAGGAACTTCTTCTGGCATGTCGAGAATGTCGTGAGCGTCGTCGGGGTAAGACTTGATAGAAACGTATTATTATAAAAAGAAAAATTATGAATACACATAAATTCCAAAAATTCCACATTTTGTTTTCAAGAGGGTTCATAAAATTCTAGCCTAATGTTATTATTATAAATAGTTCTAAAAGATCAAAATGTTTTTCAATTAGAAATCATTTTTTATTAAAACAATCGGAGAGATCAATGTTCTATGCAACATACGTCAAAATAGTATAGGTTAGTTGTAAGCCCAAACTATCAATAAAACTGTAAAAAATAATTTTCACTGTCACACTACTTAACTCAATGGCAGGTACTTGTAATATATTTCCTATATATATATAAGATATTATTTTAGTAATAAAAAAATTATGGCACCACATATCACGAGCAGAACGTGATCAGCATAGGGATAGTTCGTTTTTATTGGCTAGTGATCAACACTGGTGATCAATAGTGATCAACACTTATAATTGGTTAAATATATTTTCTATAAATATTTTTTTAAACACAAGTATATAAAAACAAAAAATTATTTGAAAAAAAAACTCTAGTCCTTGCTCAGTACAAAATTGCAATCTTCAAATATTCTGCTTTTGTTAAATTACTTTATTAGCATATAAAAAAGCTCAAAATAATAAATTATTTAAATTTTATCCTTATTTAAAAATTGAAGAACAGTTATGGCATATTCATTATTTGAGTATTGTTGAAACTGACCATTATCAAAAATCAAAAATACAAGGTAAAATTAACAATTATAAAATTAGTCAATTTTTGTTTATATAAACAAAAATTGACTTAGATTAAACTAAAATAGTCTCAGGTATATGGTCTATTTTATTTTTTATATCATACTCAAGTAAGATATATTTTACTTTTTACATTACATACTTATAGTCTATATATTAAATGCTATATAGAATACATTTGTATTGCTAATTAAGGATCGCTAAGTAATGTCTTTTCATTCTCATAATTTAACTTATATATTAGACATAATAATTCAAAATTAATTCTATAATAATTGACATCTTCATTACTATATTCATAAAATATATTAAAATATTGTTCCAATGTTTTGACACAAAAATTAGTATAAGTGTAAACTGGATTATTTTGTTTTTCAGATAAGGTTTTGACTTCCAGTAAATTCTCTTTGAGTTTAAAGATAGGTGATATATTAATATTAAAAACTTTCGAATTAAAAGAATTGAAGATTAATAATTTAATTAGATCACTTACTTCTATATTAATCTACCTTGCCCCTTTAATTTACAATTTTATAATTTTGAATTTTGATATTTGCAACTTATTTGAAATTGATAAATTTTATTTTATAATTTATAACTCCAAGATAAAAACTTATAAAAATTATTTTACAATTGAACTAATAAAATAATAAATATTGAAAATATAAAGTAAAAGTTATAAAAATAATTATTAAATATAAAAATATAATAATTAATAAAGGAATAATAGATATTATAAGATTAAATACTTAATTTTATAATTGTATAATATTATTATTCTTAAGTTAATAAAATGAATTATAAACTATTATTATAAGCCTTAGATTTGGAATAATATTAATCTTGATAAATTGGAGAAATAATCAATCATGATAATACTAACAAATAATTAATAAATACATATTAATATTAAAAGTAATAATGGACTTAGAAGATATTAAAATAAATTAGATAAAAGGTTTAATTCCTTTTCTAAAATAATTGAATTAGTGATACCTTCTAAAATAATTAAACAACAGTCTTACTTTTGGAAAAGAACTATAAACTTCTTAAAAAAACTATTAAGTCATATTGTCACACCAATATGTGGACAAGGGTCTAAAGGATAACTAATATTCTTAAACTAAACTAACTTAAACTACTTAATAATTTTCAGAATTTCTCAAGGATCACTAAGATCAACTCAATTCAATTATTTAATAGTGAATTCGAATAAATATTACAAGGTG